ATCTGTAAACATGGAATATTTTTTATCTGTGTCTTCTTTAATTTTTTTCATGAATGTTTTATAGTTGTCAGTGAATAACTTTTGCACCTCCTTGGTTAAATTTATTCCTAATTATTTTATTCTTTTTGATGTTATTGTAAATGGGATTGTTGTCTTATTTTTCTTTCTGAGAGTCCCCTGTTAGTGTGTAAGAACACAACTGATTTTTTTATGTTGATTTTGTATTCCACAACTTTACTGAATTCATTCATTAGTTCTAACAGCTTTTTGGTGTAGTCTTTAGGGTTTTCTATATATGAGATTATGTCATCTGCAAACAGAGACAGTTTTACTTCTTCCACCTATTGTGCTGTGTCCTGGGGGACTCACAAATGCCAAGCTCTGTTAGCTTTCATAGCCGGGTGACTTATGACCCAGCCTCTGGTGGCAGCTATAGCAGGTGGGGCACTAGACTTATGGGCAAACTCCTTTGTCAGAAAAGCTGGAGACTTAGTTTCATGGTTGGAATAAGCTGGGAGAGAAAGCACAGGGAGTTTGCTCATGTCTATTGAGGCTCCAAGATGACTACTAACTATGTGCCCCGTCAGGTCCCGGAGCCCTGTCAGCTCTCAGAGCTAAGTGATTTGGATGCAGGCCCTCAGGCGGCAGACATAAAAGTTGAGGGTCTAGATGTATGGAAAAACTCCTGCCAGGAAGAAGCTGAAGACTTAGTTTTACTGTTGGATTGATCCAATGGGGAGAAGGCAAGAGAAATGCCCACTGGCTCTCTCAGGCTACTGGGAATTTCCCAGTCAGCCCCCTCATGCTATCTGATTAGAAGCTGGACCCTCAAGCTGCAACTGGGAAAGTATGCAGCCAAACTCCTTTCAGGGAGAATACACCAGCCTCATGAAATTCTACTCTATGTATGTGTTCTGTGTATGATTTTATTCATTAATAGAGTCAAGGGAATACCTCCTCTTTAGTATAATCTAGAAAGTTCGTTGAGACTGAAAGCCAGGGCAATTGTAGTACCCACCTCAGTTTCATCCCTTCTCTCTGTGATCACAACGTTGTACTGCCTATTTTCTAGTGTATAAAGCATGTGTTTCATTCATTGTGTTTAGTTTTCTAGTTATTTGCAGCTGAAGAGCACATTCAGTGCTGGCTTTTCTAATATGACAGGAATGGAATTGTTATCACTGATTGTCACTGCTTCTTGCGTGCTGTCCTTCGTTTTCAGTTCACTTTTCTTCTTGCTGAAGTTCATCTTACAGTGATTCATTCATAGCATAGCCATAGGTGGTAAACTCACTGCGTTACTACATGAAGAAAAGTATCTTTTGTTTGGATGAGTTTGTTAAAGATCATTTACAATTCTAGAATTCTTTTCTGTCACTTTGGTGCGTCCTTGGCAGAAGTTGCTTACATGACCAATAGTGAGAAATCTGACTCCCATCGTCCATCACCAAGCTATTTATTTGTTCTAAATCGCAGTCTAGATGGACAGCGGTTTCAGAATTTTTTAACCCATACACTAGTGGGAATAGACTTTACCAACTAGACTAGTGCCATGTGGACTTCATTTGCCTTTATAAAGTCTTACAGATCTCCACTTATTTCTAAAATTTCTTAGGTCAGAACATTTTGTCCCCTACCCTTTTCAGTGATGTAATGTCATACTTTTGTAATAAAGTTAGATTCTTTTGTCGTGGTCTGCCCTTCACTTGGGATCCCCTGACCTTCTGAATGATTTTTTTAAATTTGCGTACATTAAAGTTCACTGTTGGTTCTGTATAGTTCTATGGGTATTGCCAAAAGCATAATGTCCTGTATTCAGCATTACAGAATTATACAGAATAGTTTCTCTTCCCTAACATATCCCCTGGGCTTCACTTGTACTACCCTCCCTCTGTGTAGCCCATGGAAACTGATCTGTTGCTTAGTCTCTATAGTGTTGCCTTTTCTCAAATGTCATATAGTTGAAATCATACAGAATATAGCCTTTGTAGACTGGCTTCTTTTATTTAGCAATATGCTAAAATTTATCCAGGTTGGTTTCATGTTTTGATAATTCATGCCTTTCATTGCTGAATAGTATTCTCTTGTATAGATGTATCAAAGTTTGTTTATCCATTTCCCTGTTGAAGGACATCTTGGTGGTTTCCAGTTTATGACAATTATGAATAAAGCTGCTGTTAACATTATTGTACAGGTTTTTGTAGACATAACTTTTCAAATCAGTCGGATAAATGCCTAGGAAAATGATTGCTGAATTGTATGTTAAGATTACATAGATTTGCTAGTTTTCTATGAAACTCGAAAATTGTCTTCCAAGGTGGTTGTACATTTTGCATTTCCACCAGCAATGAATGAGAGTTTCTGTTGCTCCACATCCTCATCAGCATTTGGTATTATGAGGTTAATTTTAGCCCTTCCAATAGTTATACAGTATTATCTTATTGAGGTTTGAATTTGTGTTTCCCTAATGACAAATAATGTTGAACATATTTTCATGTGTTTATTTTCCATTTGTATATCTTTTTTGGTAAGATGCCTGTTTAGATCTTTTGCCCTTTTCCAACTGGGTTGTCTATTTCATTCTTCTTGTGTTTTACAAGTTCTTTGTATACTCTGGGTACAAGTCTTTTATCAGATATGTGACTTACAAAGATTTTTTTCCAGTCTATAGTTTGTTTTTTCCATTGTCTTAACATTGTCTTTCTTAGAACAAAAGATTTTTAATTAAGTGAAGTCCAATTTGTTATTACTTTTCATTCATAGGTTGTATTTTTCTGTCATATACAAAAAGTTAACACCAACACTAAATTCACATAGGTTTCCTCTGATGTTTCATTCTAGATGTTTTATACTATTGCATTTTACATTTAGGTCTATGATCCTTTTTCAGTTAATGTTTGTGTAAGGTGTGAGGTGTGTTTTGAGTTTCATCATTTTGCATGTGGGCATCCAACTTTCCCAGCACCATCAGTTGAAGTGACTGTCATTTTCCTTTGAATAACCTTTGCAACTTCTTAAAAAACCAGTTGATTATATTTTTTGTGAGTCTATTTCTGAGCTCTCTTTTCTGTTTCATTGGTCAATGTGTCTATTTTGTTTGTTTGCCAATACCATGCTGTCTTGTTTATGGTAGCTGTATGGAAAATCTTGACATTGGGTAATGTGATTACTTCAATTTTGTTTTTCCTTAGAATTCTGATGACTCACTATACTGGGTCCTTCACTTTTTGTTAATTCTTTGTTTTTAATTTTCTCCATGACCCATGGTGAGCACGTGAAATGAGAATACTGAAATCTCCATTTTCAGGCAATTTTGAAGTAAATTTCTTAACTATTGCTCTCTCTTTGTTATCTTTATTTTTGCTTACTTAAATTCTTTTTAGCTGCTGTTGGAAGTTTTGGAAATAGCTTCTCTGTCTCTTATTTGTTCTTGCAGATCTTCCACTGTTAAAATCATTTTGTATTTAAGTCTCAGAACCTATCTTAGCTTTGACGTTCAACCTCACCAATCCATGCTTCAGATATATCCAATCTCTTGTTCAGGATAGGGATTTACTTAAAAATTGACAATTGCATTTTCATTTATATGATCTATAATTGGTTAATTTCATAACAGTGTGTTCTTCCATCGATGATCCCTGTCTGCTCTTCACTTGTTAGCAGTGTAATATAGTGGCAAAGCACATGGCCCTTCTGCGAAGCTCTGATACCCGTTACATGCGTTATCTTGGGAGAGTCACTTAATCTCTTTGTCTCAAAATAAAAATTATGATTGTCGTGAGGGTAAAAATGTTTTTAAAAGAACATTGAAAGCACTTAAGATAGTGCTAGGCATGTGACAAGCACTCACTGAGTGTTAGAAATGTTTAGAAATAATGTTCCATTACCCCTAATCTCTGCTCCTTGGGTGTAATACCCACTCTTACTTCTCTAAGGCTATTGAATGTCCTTATTTTCAGGTCCTGTCTTTCACTTTCCTGTTTTCTCAGGAGTAATTCATTTCGTTTGTGGAATTTGTTGTCTTTCCTTCTTGGCGTTGACGTTCCTCAAAGGTGAAACTGTTTTTAGTGTGCACTTGGCATTGCAGTTGAGATTCTGTCAGACTTTCTTCTTCCTCTGTTTGCATCCAGTCCAAGAGAATGCACCAGATCTGCTGTGGACATAACAGTCGTTTTAGGGGAATGGCAGGGATAAGGTTTGCCTTCGTTCTGGGTTATTAGGCATCTGATCTTCCGAGTGTGCATTCGCTGTAGTTCTTGGCTGTTTCCAGTCATAAGCGGCACTGCCCTCTCCCAAACGCACAGACTCTGTTCCAGCTTAAAATCTGAGATCTTTCTTGAAACTGGGTTGTCTTGAAAAGAAGATGTGCATTTCCTAGGAGAGGTGCCCATCTGCCTTTGTGGAGATAGTGCAGTGACTCACTCTGTGAACACCCCCAGAGCCCCCTCCTGTTCCTGGAGTGCTGCTGGAGCTCAGTGCTGCTGGATTAGAGGTCTTCTTCCTGGAGCTGCACATTCCTCGCTGGCTTCCATCTCTCAGGTCTTTTTTCCTCACACTTTTATATGTTGAGGATTGCTAAGTGGCTCTGGGTGTCCATGGTGGAATGCATATATGTATTTATAAATGTGCTATTGTTTCCTTATATTTGGTGTAAAATGTAAGCCCACAACCATGTCTCATTCATCTTGACTAGAAAATGTGTATGTTTTTCTAAGTAAAGAAAACTAATATATAGTATTAATAATGCTAAAATTATGTTTTTTCAAAAGATAGTTTTCATTTCTTTCCCAAAAAGCCATTGATACATATTAAATTCATTATCATAGTCTTGAATTTATTAGAATAATAAATTATTACTATTTAGGAAAATAGAAAAATAAATTCTGAAGAATATATTAATTTTTAAGTGGATCTAGTGAGTTTTCTTGACATGGGTGAAAAATCCTGTTTTACTTTATATATTTCTGATTTACTAAATCATCTTTATTTGCTTATTTTAGATGATTTATATCATTACAATTGATGAAAAACCGTGTACTCTGCATCTCAGAAAACAGTAAGATATGATTTTCCCTTAGAGCTTAGATTTTACTTTTTAAATATTTTTGTATGCTATTTAAATTCAGGATAGCAGTATAATGTATATTGTTTAATCAACCCATTTTTCAATTTAGAATTCAGTAGATTTTGAATATTAGAGCTATAACAATGTTGCATTATAAATTTTCCAACTTGTTATTTTCAAATTAAGAAATAAGCTACATATTTGTAAATCTTCAATTGGGTATAAAGCCATTGAACCCAAGAACTGCAAGTTATATATTAAGCATGTCTCAGGTGAAATCAAACATAGTTACACATCAAGTGGTTATTGGTGGGAAGCTTAACTAGTGGCATACATTTTATGAATGTATTAATTATATATATATTTATTTTTTAAATTTTATGGGCACGTTTTATATATCATAAAAGTCACTCAAGTATATAATTTAATAATTTTAATAACTTTTTGCAGTGTTGCAACCATCAACCATAAATCAGTTTTAGAACTTTCATTCCCCACCTAAGATTCCTCATGCCATTTCACATTTAATCCCTGTTTCCACTCACTACTCCAGGCAACAATCAGTCTCCTTTCTGTCTCCTAGTTGGCATTTTCTCAACATTTCGTATAAATGAAATCAAACAGCCCCTTCTCTGATTGCATCTTTGAAAGCATATATTTATAACACCTGCATTTTGTCTGCCTGCATCTTTGCAGTTGAACAAGGCTGGAGAAAATTATCCTCGCTTAATTCATGACTGTTCTCACCTAGTTCATGACAATGAAACCCATGTTGGTCTTTAATGTCTCTCCAACTTCATTAAAAAGTTTTTTGATAAGACCGTCACTGATCTCACGTTCCTAAATGCCAGTTATCTTTCAGTCTTCATTTTTCTTGACCGATTGGCAGCATCTTGTATAGCTGATTGGTGTCTCCTCCACAAATACTTTCTTCATGTGGCTTCCAGAATACCATAGACCCCTGGTTTGACTCTCACCGTTGTGCTTACTCTTGCTCAGTTTTTTGTTGTTTTTGTTTGTTTTTTGGATTCTTCCTCATCTCTCCAATCTTAGAGTACTGCATGGTGTTCTTCTTGAATCTTGTTTTTTCCTAGTTATATTCAATCACCTGGTTATTTCATCCAGTCTTGTGGCTTTAAATACCATTTATATTGATTACTTCCAAACTTACATCTCTACTTTATTTTTTCCCAAAGAACACCATATTCCTTTTTCTGACTGCTTATTTGATAACCAATTGTTTACCTGAATTCTGACACTTAACATGTCAAAAATGTACTTATGATCCTCTTCCAAAAATTATCCTCCCACAATCATCTCAGTAAATGATAACTCTATTCTTCCAGTTTCTCATAACAAAACCTGGAGTCATCCTTGACATCTTTCTTTTGTTTTCCCCCATATCCAATGGATTATTAAGTCCCATGTTTTCCACCTCGAAAATACATCCAGAATTGGACCTCCACTACTGCTCCTATCCTAGTTCAAGCCACCATCCTGTCTTGCCTGAATGACTGCAACAGCCTAACTGCACTCTCTGCTTCTGCTTATTTGCCTTACAAATGCTTCTCAACACAGCATTCAGTCTGATTCTATTAAAATGTTGGTCTGATTCTATCACTTATCTGCTCAAAAACTTCCAATGACTTCTTACTTCTGTGACAGCATCTCTTACTACTGTCTCTCATCCTCAGTCCCATTCCACTCCAGACACATTGCCCCCTAGCTATTCTTTATATACACAAAGCATAGTTCTCCCTCAGGGTCTTTGCATTTTCTCCTAACTCTTTCTGAAATAACATTTCTGTACAGATCCGTGTGGCTTATCTTCATGTCTTTGTCTATTCAGTGAGCCTTTTCATGCCATCTTATCTACATTTTGCAACCAATCTCCCTCACCCGGGCCTATTTATCACCATCTAACCTGGTAGCAGTGTGTGGCCCTCACTGTCGTGAAGACTAGTGGTTTTGTCTTTTGTTTACTGCTGTATTGCAGTGTCTAGAAGAGGATCTGTCCGATGGTAGGCACTCAGTAAATATTGGTTGAGTGCAGACATAAACAGGCACACACACAAATATCTAACAGAGGATTTGGAGTCTATTCCAGTGTTAACCATGCCTGGACTCTCTGATACACCAGTTCTATGAATTTAAACTGTTATGCCACATTAAAATTGCTCTAATTAAAGCACATTATTATGTGAATCATATATTTCACGTTTATTTTTATTATTTTACTGTTTACATCCATATTAAATTGATAACTCAAACACTTTTTATTTTTGCTTTTCTTAGCTCATTCTTATCCCAGAACTTTTTGGTTTATGCATACAGTGAAAATGGATCTTTGCATGCTGAGTCTTCGTATTTTAAGGTAAGACTCACGTCTTAGACATTTAGTATTATGTGTTTCTTTATTGAAGCAGACATATCATTACCATTGGGATATTTTTGTTCCGTGTTGACAATTTAACACAAATATTTTGTTCCATATAATTATGACCTGTTATATGGTTGATTGTTGTACATAGAAACAGCATGTGATAGACATGAAACTCAGGCTGAGAGAATATTCTTGGGCACCTAGGTGGTACAAAGTAGAGTTGTCAAAAACATTTTTCCCTGATAATCTGCATTAATAAATCTATCTGGTACACAATCTTATTATTTTCAACTCTTTTAACATTTTGAGTCTTCAGTAATGTTTACCAATGCATATTTTATTCATAAAGAATGTATTTATTTGCCTTTCTATACTGTTTTCAGACGCATTGCCATTACCAGGGATACATTGCAGATTTTCCAAATTCAGTTGCGACACTCAGCATCTGTTCTGGACTCAGGTAATAGCATCTTAGAGGGCATTTATACATGGAAAACATAGGGCATACTTTAAAATGAAACTTAGTGGCTAGGAGACATAACTGTAGAGGGTTAAGGGGAATTCGAGTCTGAAGGCTTCCTTTATGATGGCCTCCTTTTTATAGTAGTATTAGTAGCTAGACCTTAGTGTCCACTCAAATGAAATCCGTCTGGGAATCCTGACTGGAGGTATTTTCAGGACACAGTGCAGAAGGGGATGGTTTCAGTAAAGGGAACTTTAGAACATCTCTCTAAGTATTGTCACATTATCTATCAGTTATCTATCAGTTATGGAAAATGGCATTAATTAGTTATTTAAATAGGCACATACCATATGCTGTCAGTTTGGGTGCACCCAGTATCAGACATAAAGCAACTAATTAAGAAGGTCCCTCAGAAGTACAGGGCAGGGATGAGTGATTTTCATCATTGATGGTGGCAGGAGGAAGGTGGTAAGTTTATCAGAAGGAGATGGATCCAGAGCACAGAAAAAAGACTCCTCCTAACTCCCTTTTGGGTTTTTTTTTTGCCTGATTTCCAGAATTTACTCATTTAAAATCAGAAAATTGGCATTCCCTGAATGTGGTTTTCATAGATATCAACCTCTTCAGGTATCTACTCTATAAACCTGCTTTCCCTTATTCTCACCTCTGTAAGAACAAGAACTTTATTCCTGGAATTCTCAGCAAATGTCCTGCTTCCCAGCTAGTACTTGGCCTTAATATATCTTGAATGAATGTGACTACTATACAGAAAATAAAAAATACTTTTCACTATGTTTAGATTTTTAATATGTGAGCAAGGCAGATGTGGTGACTCAGTTACTAATGGTAGACTGAAAAAAAATAGGAAAAGAAAATGCCTTTAAACATGTTCCTTACTATGATTGCTCATTTCTCACAACATTTTAGGTTATAGCTTTGATGGGATCATTTCCAGGATTTTTATATCATTGCTTTCTACATGTTCAGGGGGTTCCTTCAGTTTGAAAATATCAGCTATGGAATTGAGCCGTTGGAATCTTCAGCAGGATTTGAGCACATAATTTATCAAGTGAAAAATAACAATCCAGACATACCAACGTTATCAGAAAATTACAGTGATATTTGGCAGAAAGACAAGCCCTATAAGGTTCATTTAAGCTCACAGGTAACTGTGATGTTTCTGATGTTATGACATACTATGAAATTACTTCTGTAGAATTTTGTTACTAGTAAAAAGGAACTAAGCTGTTGAGCAGGAATATTGAGTTTGCTATCTTCTTTCTATACCTTTAAACAAAACATCCATATTCCATCTAAAATATGTGGAAAATTATATAATAAGTATTTCAAACTTATTTTATGATGTATTATGTAACATTTCTTATTTTTTATTTTTATTCAAATACAAATGCATATTATTAAATACAATTTAGAAATGCAGGAGGAGTAGAGTCATCATTAATTACCACTATTCTTGTAAAATTCCTTTCAATATTTTGATATTTTGCTTTATATACTACTGGAACATATGTTTCCAAAATAGGTACTCATTTGTATAGTATTAAACTCTCTTGATTTACCTGTGCACTGGCAAAAGAATTCTTGGTTGACAGTGTTTTTTCTTTCAACACTTTGAACATTTCAATTCATTCTCTTCTGGCATCCATGGTCTCTGAGGAAGAATCAGCTATGTTAATCTTATTGAGGATTCTTTATACATGATGAGTCTATTCTCTGTTGCTTCTTTCAATATTATCTGTTTGTCTTTTCCTTATGTCAGTTTTCTTATGATGCGTCTTTGAGAGGCTCTCTTGAGTTTATTCAACTTGGAGTTCATTGAACTTCTTGGATGTGTAAATTAGTGTTAGTCATCAAATTTGGGAAAATTTTGGCCATTAGTTCTTTGAATATTCTTTTTGTCCTTTTATCTGTCTCCTCACTTTCTGATATTCCCATTATGTGTATATTGGTATGCTTGATAGTGCCCCAAAGGTCTATTAGATTCTGTTCAATTTTTTTCTATTTTTTTTTCTTTGTCTTCCTCAAATTGTGTATTCTTAATTGACCTATCATCAAGTTTCCTGATTCTTTCTTCTGTCTGCTCAAATCTGCTGTTTAGCCTGTCTAATGGATAGTTCATTTCATTTATTGTATTTTTCGATACTAGAATTTCTAAGCCTTTATTGATGTTCTCCATTTAGTAAGACATCATTATTATAATCCGTTTAGTTGTTTATACATGGTTTCTTTTAGCTCTCTGAAATTATTTAAAATTTCTAATTTGAAGTATTTTTATGGTAAATCAAACATGTAATCTTCCTTAAAGACAGTTTCTATTGATGGCCTTTTTCCTGTGCATGGGCCATAAAAAACTCAGCATCAATTTATTATATAAATTCTCAGTTACCTTATAATAAAGAGGAACTTGTTCTAGATCATAAAAACTACCCATAAAATCCTACAGCAAACATGATATTAATGAAGAAAGAGTGAGTACTTTTCTTTTAAGATTTGGTACAAGGCAAGGCTGCCAACTCTTTCCACTCTTAAACGTAGTGTTGGATTCCTAGGCTGGATAATAAGGCAAGAAAAGGAAATAAAAGGCATACAGATCAGAAAGGAAGACCTAAGAATCTTCCTATTTTCAGATGACATGATTGTCTCCTTAGAAATATCAGAGAATGTACAAAATAACTTCTATAACTAGTAAGTAAAATCAGCAAAGTCACAGAATACTTGATGAATGTTCAAAACTCAATGGTATTTCTATATATTAGCAATGACTGTGTGGAAACTGTAGGGAAAAACACAATTTGAAATCATTCAAATATGAAATAGACAGTGTCTTAGTCAGTTTGGACTGCTATAACAGATTACCATAGACTGGCTGGCTTAAACAACAGATAATTATTTCTGACCCTTCTTGAGGCTAGAAGAGTGAGAGCAGGGTGCCAGCATCTTCAGATTCTTGATGAATGCCCTCTTCCTGGTATATAGATGGCTGTCTTCTTGGTGTGTCCTCACATGGTGGGAGAGAGAGCTAGCGAGCTCTCTGGTCTCTTCTTGTAAGGGCACTAATCCCATTTATGAGAGCTCTAGCCTCATAACCTAATTACCTTTGAAAGGTCTCACTTCCAAATACAGTTGCATTGGGATTAGGGTTTCAAACTATGATTTTTGGAGGGACACAAACATTGCAAATAGATATCTAGCAAAACATATTCAGGCTTTGTATACTGAAAACTACAAAATGCTGATCTAATAAATCAAAGTAGACATATCATGGAGAGACAAATGGAGAGACATACCATGTTCATGGACTGGAAGACTCAGCATAATAGATATTCTATTTTCCTCCAAATTAATATATAGTTTTAACATATTGACTATCAAAATTCCAGCAGGAAGTTTTATAGCTATATATAAGCCTATATGTAAGCTTGGTCTAAAAAGTAAATGGAAAGTTGAAGAAGCTAAAATAACTGAAATAATTTTGAAAAACTAATAAAGTAGTAAGAACTACTCTGCTTGATTTTAAGATGTATTATTTAGCTACAATAAGCAAGACTGTGTGGTATGAGTGGAAGAATAGACACATCCAGCAATGGATCAGATTAGAGGACTCAGAAATAGACCTACTACACAAAATAAAAGCAATTCAATCAAGGAAGGATAGTCTTTTCAACAAATGGTACTGGGACAGTTAAATATCTGTTGGCAATAAAATGCACTTTGACCTAAATCTCACATCATATACAAAAATTAACTCAAAATTGATCACAGATTTAAACACAAACTGTTAAACTATAAAATTTTTAGAAGAAACATAGGAAAAATGCTGTAGGATGTAGGACTTGGCAAAAAATTCATAGACATAACACCAAACACATGATCCATAAAAGAAAAGAAAAGATGAATTGGCCTTCCTTAAAATTAAAGTATTTTTATCTGAAAAACAAAACCCTGTGATCATAATGAAAAGACAAGCTGCAGAATGGGAGAATATGACAAGGGACTGATATCTAGACTACATAAATAACTATCAAATTCAACATTAGCAAGTAAGGAATATAATCAGAAAATAGGCAAAAGCCTGAAGACACATTTCACTGAAGAGGATATACAGATGCCAACAAAGCAAAATGAAACACATAAAAAGATGTACATCAGAGCCAGCCCTGTGGCACAGTGTTTAATTTCACATGTTCTACTTCGGTGGCCTGGGGTTCACTGGTTTGCATCCTGGGTGTGGACCTACTCACCACCTGTCAAGCCATGCTTTGGCAGGCATCCCACATATAAAGTAGAGGAAGATGGGCATGAATGCTAGCTCAGGGCCAGTCTTCCTCAGCAAAGAAAGAGGAGAATTTGCCACAGATGTTAGCTCAGGGCTAATGCTCCTCAAAAAAAAAAAAAAGATGTACATCATCACTACCTTTTAAAAAACTGGGAATTAAGAGCATTATCAGATATTGTTATACAACTATTAGAGCAGCTAAAATAAAAAGTTGTGACAATATCAAATGCTGCCAAAAATTTAGGAAAACTAGATCTCTCATGCATTGCTAAAAGTAATGAAAATGGTACAGCCATGGAAGAAAGTATTCTTAAAAAATACTAACCCTATATTTATCACACAACTCAGCAATCAAACATCTGGGAATATATCCAGAAGAAATTAAAATTTATGTCCATACAAAAACCTAAACACAAATGTTGGTCAACCTTCATTTATAGTAGCCAGAATTTACTCTGAGTTTAACAGATATATCATAACCTTCAGAGAGGGTATTTTTTCCAATTAAAAATATTTTGGAGGAGTGATGTCAGCATCATGGCGGAGTGAGCTTGCCGAGGACTTTCTCCCCTCCAATGTACAACAGAAAGGAGCAACAATATTCCAGCAGAAAATATCCTAATAGCACAGGAATCCTCAGAGACCCACAGCAGCCAAATGACAGAGGGTGGAGAGGTGGAGCCCCCCTTGGAGGAGCTGGAATGAGGTAAGAGAGAACTTCACTGCCTCCCATAAAGACTGGGATCACTGCCATGGGCAGCTCCATGAGGGAAGGAGTGGGGGAGGTTTTGCATGTCAGCAGGATCACCCAGGACCCCCTAGCACGCTTGGAGCATAGAGGGAAGCCCTCTAACAGGGTGAAAGCTTTCATGTGGGGTGACCTTATCAAACCAAGACCACAGGAGACCAGATAGAGCTGATTGGGAAACCTGGGTCTGCTTGCAAGAGAAAGTGCCCCCCACAACCCACAGCTAAAGGCAGAGGGCTCAGAATACACAGCTGTCAACTTGCATCTAGTGGTGACAGGCTGTAATTACAACCGAATAATATCACTCTGCAGAAAAACCATTCTAGTATCAAACAATTCATAAAAGCTCCAGACCAGAAGGAAAACAATAAAAACACAGGATTATGTCCTGAGGACTTACTTGAAATAAGTAAACTGAATGGCAATGAATTCAGAATAGCTATCATCAAAAAACCCAATGAGGTAAAGGAAAATATAGAGAAACAAGTCAAGAGTTCTGGAATTACTTCACGGAAGACATTGAAACTGTAATGAAGAATCAATTAGAAATACTAGAGATGAAAATATAATGGATCAGGTAAAACAAAATATGGATTCCCTGAATGCCCATGTGGACACCATAGAGGAGCAAATCAGCATAATCGAAGATAGACAGGTTGAATGGCTCCAGAAAGAGGAAGAAAGATAACTAAGACTAAAAATGAATGAAGAAAATCTCCAAGAAACAGCTGACTCAATGAGGAAATGCAACATAAGAATTATAGGTATCCCTGAAGGCAAAGAAAAGGAGAATGGAGCAGAAAGCATGCTCAAAGAAATAATAGCAGAGAACTTCCCAAATCTAGGGAATGAGAGAGAAATATCTGTGCAAGAAGCCTTCAAATCTCCTAGATATGTCATGGAAAAAGACCTATTGCAAGGCATATACTAGTAAAAATGGCAAAAATGAATGGCAAAGAAAGAATACTCAGGAAAGTAAGGCAGAAGAAAATAACCTACAAAGGAACCCCTATAAGACTTTCAGCGATTTCTCTGCAGAAACCTTACAAGCTAGGAGAGATTGGAATGACATTTTCAAAACTTTAAAAGATAAAAATCTTCAGCCAAGAATACTCAATCC